TAGGAGAGATGTTCCAGTCCCCTCACCATCCTTGTAGCCCTCTGCTGGACTCTCTCCAGTAGCTCTTCATCTTTCTTGAACTGGGGAGCCCAGAACTGGACAGAGTACTCCAGATGAGGCCTCACTAGGGCAGTGTAGAGGGGAAGGAGAACCTCACTCGACCTGCTGGCCACACTCCTCTTGATGCATCCCAGAATGCCATTGGCCTTCTTGGCAGCCAGGGCACACTGCTGGCTCATGGTTAACCTGTCATCCACTAGGACACCCAGGTCCCTCTCCGCAGAGCTGCTCTCCAGCAGGTCCGCCCCAAGCCTGTACTGATGCATACCAGTCATACCAGTCATCCAGCTGTCTTCCTGGCTTGGTTTTGGATAGCTCTACAGTGCAGTCAATTAGTTTTCCCCATAGAAAGTCCAAACTGCGGTGTGATCTGATCTGATTTTCATCAACTCCACAAGAAGTTTCTTTTGTGCCCTTCTTCATTCACTGCTTTTCATTCCTGTCTCTTCAATAACTGCAGAACAACCAAATGAGAGAATAAGGCAAAAGATCTATGAATTTCTCAGTGAGAATTAAAGGGTGAATGTGGAAGGTGTCATAACTGAGCCATAACATGGGGGAAAAGTAGGGAATCGTGTGGCAGAACAGTGGAGAGCTCAGGAAATGCAGCTGTGCTGAGGTGTGACAGTGACTGGACATTTCCAGTGAACTGGAGTCCGTTCATCCAGCCATCTCCTTCCAGGCGCGGCCCCAGCTGCTTTGGAGGAAGTCTGCAGGGTGCTGTGAGATTTCTCCCACTGTGTATGATGGGAGCCAACTCGGCAAAGTGAGTTTACAGGGGTTTGATGAGTTTCCACGCAGCGTCTGACCTGCAGTAACTCGGTACGTGCCCTTGGTCCGTACGGATGGTGAAGCAAAATGGCTTTGAGAAGTAAAGTCTTTTTATTCATTCTCTTCTCCTCACATTTTTACTAACATGCCCTGCTTTTTCTCCTTTTTACTTTCTATCCTCTGCTTCTCTTTTCTTTCCAGTTCATTGCAGCCAGCATTTCTCCCTGCATCTCCAATCCATCTGCTGTTTCAAAGCTGAGAGATTTATTTAGATTTGGAGAAAGTCTTTATCTTCCTAGGTTCTGCCTTTCAAACATGTCAAAGTGGACAGAAGGGTTACATTTCATCACAGGTTGCTTTTGGTGGTATCTTCCCTTGAGAAAGAACTGGGTTCAAGTAAAGTGGAATACATGTTTATGGTTATCGAGCGTTCACACGTGAACTCTCCGTGTTTTGCTCAGGGGCAACACGTGTGAGGGGTTTCGCCGGGTTTGTCTGTCCCGTCATCCCCGTGGGACCTGCGGCGGTGCCGCGCTGCGGGTCGCTTCTCAAGGGGCTTTTTCAGGCGGCTGTTTTGTCACTGTCCACGCGTGAGTGCAGGGGGGAAGGTGAGGAGGAGATGAAACCGTGAGAGGTGGAATTGGGTTGTTTTCTCCGCGTGGTTTGAAGGTTTGCTTGGTTGAAGTACAGTCGGTTGTGCTCGCTTAGATCTCTTTGGAACCGCTGACGCCCACGCCGCTGAGCAGCAAGGCAGCCTGTGCTGGGGCGGTTTACGCGCCTTTCAGCCAGAAGAAGGGTGTAGTGCGGGGGCCTTCCGTGTCTTTGAAGTGCAAATTACACCAGCTGAGATGTTTCAGATACCTGTAGAGTAGGAGTAAGGAAGTTCTAATGATATCTAAAGAAGCAGAATGTAAGACTTTCAAACTAAAACAAAAAAAAAACCCCAAACCCTACATAGCTCCACTGAATTTGACATGCCAAATCAAACATGGCCTACATAATAAATCTCTCCAGCTGATTCACATGCCTGTCTTGAACATGTGTGCTTGGCTGGAACACACGGGTTATTTTCTAGGTTACAGTGTGTAGTGCACCGTCTTGTAGCCTA